TGCGTCAGGCTCTCGGCTGACAGCTCAGAGGCTGGAGCCTGCTTTGGATTCTGTGTCTCCCTCTCTCTCTGCCCCTCCCCTGTTCATGCTCTGTCTCTCTCTGTCTCAAAAATAAACAAACATTAAATTTTTTTTTAAAAGAAGAGCAATTAAGAGTATCATCACTAGTATCACTGAAATTTTAGAGCTGAATACAATTCAAGAGATTCTTAGTTAATCTACTTAGAGAGGTAGTAAAGCCAGTGTGTAGCCATGGTAACCAACCTGCCCAAGCTACACAGCAAGGTAGGTGGTTGTGTTGAAAGTGGAATCCAGGTCTCATGATTTGCCGTGTTCCTTCCGTTCTCCTATATCCCCTCTAAGTAAAAGGCATTTCTATGGATCCATATTCACTACAGTGTGTATACAGCTTGTAAAATAGTCTTGAAGAAAAGAACGAATAGACTGCAAAATGTGATACAAAGATTAGAACAGAATAAATGTCACAATTTTGATCTCAAAATGAATAGCAGTTTCACGTTCTTTTCTTTATGGACTGCATTCAAAGGGAACGAATATTGCCCTTTGCATGCTGGCTTACTTTTACTCGTTTACATAAAGCTACATATACGTCTTAAGACATTGCCACATTATTCAGAAAAGGAAACACTTAGAAGCCAAAAATCTTGCATGACAATCCTTGTCCTAATCCCAAGAAGCTCCCAGCATCCTGAGAAATTTTACTAGCAATTATTTGCAAATATTTGCTTTCTGAGAGTAGCCTTATAGAAAGCGTCTTTATTATTATTTTTTTAATATGAAATTTATTGTCAAATTGGTTTCCATACAACACCCAGTGGTCCTCCCAACAGGTGCCCTCCTCAGTGCCCATCACCCACCTTTTTTTTTTAAGATAAGCAGGACTTACAGAAACATTTAGATATTAATTTTGTGAACTTTATGTAGTGCACATAAAAAAGTACTATTATTATATTCACATTTTTTTAAAATGCCACTTAATCAAAAAGGGTTGGTAAATGTCCTCATTATTTCATGATATGAATCATGTCTTTCTAAAGTAAACATCAGTTTCAAATTTGATCATCACTCAGAGGAAAAACTTTTTTTAAAAGCATATTTACTTCTAAGCAGGAAAGTAAACAGGATCCTATTGGATGACATTTTGATGAGTACTATTTTATAAAAATTCTCTGACTCTGTAAAAAATGAAAATACATTTCTTCCCTACTACTTGCCCTGCAGGATGGCTGAATAAACCTCATCTCATCTATTTGAAGTGAATCCAATTTAATTTTTCTTGACCAAAAATCTGTTTCCATAGTTCTAAAACATGCAATCACCCCAAGGTACATTGCCATTGTAGCTTAAGTGGCTCAGTGTTATCACTGAAGAAAATATACTTTGATTGAGAAAACAGTCTGGTATGGCTTTTGAAAAATAAAATGACCCTTCTTGGTACACAATTTAGTAAGGCAGTTGATAAAAGCAGGCAGATATGGCCACTATGGACAGGATCTAAAGGAAGATGCTTCATCCAATTTACAAAAATGAGTCAAAGGTTATAGTCCAGGAATTAGCATTATAAATCACTCTCTTATTATTTAAACTTCTAGGGCTTTGACAATTCTAGTGAACAGTTTAAATTCTACATATAACAGTAATCTCTTCTTAATTGAAAGGCAATTGAAAAATCAATTATGAGGTAAAGAAAATTTGCAACAAATTACTGTGTTACTTAACAGTATATCATTTCCTTTCTTCCTTAGTAGTTTTTTTTCCCCATATGCACACCTTATTACCTGAAATCACATAGGTATCATTATAAAAGCTAATTTTAAAACCTATTGGTACAACCTAAAAACACTGCTGCAAAATTGAATATTTGTAACATATTAATCTAAATTATTTAATTGCAGTTATTGGTCTGCTAAAAATCTAAAGATTTAAAATATCTATTTTTTAATGAACCTAGTAATCTTTTAAGTCAATACCTCCTCAAATGAACCAAATAATCACTAATTGATTAGATCATTTACTTCTATAAACCACTGCTGTCTTTAAACATGTAATAGTTTATAATAAAAGAAACATTTCATTGGAAATTAATGGGTAGTTAAGTGTTTTCCTTTTACATTAATTAATACTATAAAATGCATAACTTTTTATTTCCCTATTTCTAGGTATTTAGCTTGCAAATGCAATAGCTATTTTACATGTTTTCTTAAAAAACAGAATTTCTTAATAAAAACTAGTCACTAATTGATAAAATACATTTTAGAAAAGGCTGGTAAGTCTTTTCTTATTTTGGGATACATCGAGTTTACCTAGGAATTCAGGCATCAGTAATTTCTTTAATGATGAAATAAGACTACAAAGAAAAATCTCTGATACTTTTTTCCAACTCTGGTTATCCTAGAATGTCCTCTTATGAATTACTTTATATAAAAGAAACAGTCTAAAGGTCGCATTGTATTTCATTTTCCTATATCAAATTCACCTTACTAACTTGTTTCTTGGGTTTTTTTTTTTTAATGTTTATTTATTTATTTTGAGAGTGAGAGTGTGTGTACACATGAGCGGGGGAGGGACAGAGAGGAGGAGAGATGCAGAGAGAATCTGAAGCAGGCTCCAGGCTGTCAAATCTGTGAGATCATGACCCAAGCTGAAGTCAAGAGGTGGATGCTTAACTGAGCCACTTAGGTGCCCCAATAATTTGCTTATTATTAAATAAATCATAAACCAACAATCACAATAACAAATCATTAATGAAGCATCAGTAAAGCATAACAAATGGAGCTGCTGGATATGTATAAATCTGTGTAAAGTTCTAAAGTCGTAAGTCTTTATTCAAGGCAATAAGTGTTATTATTAACAATCTTACAAACCTAAACAAGATAGAGAAAATCAACAGAAAGATTATAATGTGAGCACACATTCTTACTGAAATGGATATTCCCTAAGGACAGGGGTTTCTGTTCATTGTTGTTCATGTCCCCCCTAGTGCCTAGGACAGTGTATGGCACATGGAGAATGATCAATAAATATATATTGATGAATACCCTGTGTGACAACTCATTGTACTTTGTGGTCAAATGCAAATAAAAAATAAAAGGAGAGAGAGAGAGAGACGAGACAGACAGAGAGAAAGTGCATATTGGCACATAATGTGCAATACTACCTTTATGAATTTACAGAATTTATAAAGCTTTTATTATCTCTCTTCTCCTAATATATTTTCTCTCTTTCTATCCTGTTCTTCTTGCTCCTTCTACTGAAAGTAAAAATCAGAATCTATTTTCTTCTTTCCCCGGTAAACATATGTTAATTAGTAGACAGCGTGCTGATATGAACAGAATTCACTTTCTTCTACTCTCTTTCCAAATTTGACACTTAGGTGTATCTCAAACACGTGAAATAAAAGAAATGTAAAAATAATTGTTGTCGTTCTTGTTTCTTTAGAATGAAGTTTTCTATACAAGTTAGGATCATGTATTTGGAAAAGCTTTATATGGCATCTACAAGAGACACACATTCGCTATTAAAAACAAAACAGAAGGAAACAATTTAGGCCAAGTAGACACACAATTCTGAAAGAAATAACAACAGAATATACACAAAGACTATAAATGTCAGTAGGGATCTAGTAGCATTTAATAGCATTTTAGAAATATTCTTACAGCACTCTCTGAGGCAGGTAGATTTCTCTTCCTTAGTCTTCACTGATGTAATGCCAGTGCCTGATGCACAGTAGGCAATCACTAAGTATACCTTGATTGCATTAAGTTGTAAACGTTTAGCATTTAAAACTCTATTTTTCAAAAACTTTAGACATGAGACATAGGTTCATTGAAGTGGATTCTAGGTAAGGGCAGCTAACCACATATAATACAAAGTATGTAAGCCTAAGACAGTTTTTAAGTACCATATTTTGGGTCTTTGTCTTCAGATAAACTAACAGTGCATTTTTCTCATAGACAGTGTGGGGATCAAGGGCAGGTACAGTGATTATTCTGAATTAGAGTTACCTAAGGAACACCCAGCGCAAGAACACTAGGATGCCCCTTTGTCTTCAGAAAGCAGAAAATGAATCTTCCATACGAAAGGTGTCCTGTCTGTACCAGGAAGTAAAGAGACATCCATATCACCAGACATTGGGAATACAGAGCTAAGAAGGCTATATAAACAAACCTTGTTACTTTTACTAAATTATTACCCCAATCCAAATCCCTTTAGAATTCCTTACTAATTGAAGCTCCAAAACTTAAGGGTTTCTTTTTTGCCCTGTAAATTTCTTACAGGTTTATGTTCCTTTGGCTAAAAAAGTATAAAAGCTGCCTGCCTTAGTCATTTATTTGGGTCTCAATTTTATTATTGAGACTGTGTACAAATAATTAAAGGGTTTTTTTTCTCCTATGAATCTGCTTCATGTCAATTTCATTTTTTAGACCAGTCAGAAGAAACTTGAAGGGATGGATAAAAATTTACCATGTCAACAACAGTGAAAGGGTAGCCTTATTATTCATCATGAGAACCAGAAGGCTATCAATTCAAAATTTTGACACTTTAAAATATAATAGAAGTTTTGTATGCGATTTCTCTTCAAATTTGCTTTATTTTATTTTGATGATGTCCTGAGCCTGAACAAACAAGGCCCTTCAAGTACTTCACTAATTTACTTGTTTATTTAACTTAAAAAGTGAAAACCCTGTGCAATTAGCAGACAATCCCCTCAGCTTGGGCTAGACCAAAGTTATTAATCAAGACTACCAGCTAGTAGCTAACAAACCAACACAAAGCAGTTTACAAAAATCGACAAATCTCAGATTAAAAGCCTATACACATTTCACATTCAAACTGAGTACATTATGCTAAGCAAGACTGAAAGACAGCCAAAGCACCCAAGGTCAGAAACAATCCCATTTTAGAAAAGACACCTATGCAGAAAAGCCTACTTTCATAACCAAAGTTCCCAGACAAAGGAATGAAATCCACGTACTCACCTGGCTAATGGGTTCTTTTGTAGGGGGCTTTCCTCTTCTGGCTGTGCTAGTAGCTAGGGTTGTGGTGGTCTCCATAATTGATGTGGACATCTCTGACTGCATGGCAGTGGCTGTCGACTCAGTTGTCATTGAGGAAGGCACTTCACCAACAAGTCTCACATTTCCCACTATGGCGATGTTGGCATCATTTTCGGCTGCCATATTCAGAACTTTCAAGCCATTGTAGTAAAGCCCAGAGAGCTGGCCCTGGAAGGGCTGGCCCTGCTCTTTCCCGCCAATTATTATGGTTGCTTGGCTATTGAAGATTGTGAGCTGACGCCCTGTAAAAATAATATTACATACATGCAAAAATGTTGATTGTGAACTCTACATTCTACAAAGGATGATAAAACAGATCTTTCATGGGGTGGATAATGAGAGCAATAAACTATAAGAGAGGCATTTGACTCATAATTCATTGCTTATAAATGAAGTGTCCATGAAATGCATAATCATTGGCAAATACTTGTAAATTCTCAACTTATCATAAATGTAGTGTTTTTGCTAAAAGACCAATCAAAGATACATATTATAAATCAGTTTTTAGTGGATCCCTTTTCCCTTTTACATCAAGATCTTATACTGTTGGTCTCTTAAGTCTAAATTGTCAAATTAAAAAAAAATGTGAGATAGCTAATGTTTCAAGTATTTGTCATTCTAAAAATAACACTGGCATAAACTAAACTAAAGCAGCTAAATCTAATTTTAAATTTATGATAAAAATTTCATAGTTCATGTAATGGCCACATGTATCTATACACTAGTCTTCGAAAATGTTTATTTTTTGAAGATATAGTCCATTGTTATTTGAATTATTCTATTTTTCCGGCAATCACACTGAAAAGAAATGCATGGTTTACACTAAGCATGTCAGAGACAAAAAAAAAAAAAAAAAAAAAAAAAAAAAAAATCCAAAAATATTTTTCTGATTGGCTTTCAGCAAGTCTATTAAAACAAAACAAAATGAAAAAAAAAATAGCTTCAGATGTAAAAAGCGGCTTCAGGAATGATACACAAACCGATGGAGAAATCATGGCACATTTCCATCAAACAGCAATCCTCAGCAACAGTACCAATATCATCAAATTGAGTATCCGGTTTTAGCAGATTGCTCTCTGCTCATAAAAAGCATGCACACAACTTTAAGTTCAGTTTTAATTAGGGCTTGTTCTCAAATGCTCTTAGAAGGTTGCAAACGTTAAAGGGACTTCATTTTGACTGGCAATCCATATTGCCCACTATTTAAGATGCCTAGAGTTTAAACCAAGAGTTTTTTTGTTTTGGTTTTGTTTTTTGTTTTGTTTTTTTTTTTTCAGGACCATAATAAAGATATCAGAACTACATATATTTTAGTTAATAATTTAGAGGCTGGAACATGTAATATAATCTATGAATGATTTATCATTTTGGGTTAATTCTTGCTGTGAGTACCTTCATAGATTGAGTTAGTGGATTATATTTAACAGTCCCTTTAACCTTAAGTTAACAGGGTAAGATTATTAAACAGTTGGTACGTCTAAAAATGTAGAGAAATTATTATACAAGGTATGCAAATATTACTATCTACATTTTACTGTTTTAAATTTGTTTTTAATTTAGTTTTACGGAAAATTTATTTTTTATGTTTATTAGTGTTACAATGAAGTACTACTTGGTTATGTTCAAATTATTTTTTTATTTGAAGTTTTAATCAATGTTTTTTACCTTTGTCGAGTAGCCATTCATCAACTACTCGACCAAGTCGATATGGAATTCGCTGTCTAGCAATCGCCAGGCGCTCGTTATCATTGTTTCCTTTAAAGTTTAAAGAGACATTTCATTGGTTAAAATCTGTAAGGTCAAAGGTTAAAAGTTAATACTTAAAGCTTGAGCTATACAGTTGCCACATGATTTTTTGAAATTTGGAATTTTAAAAAGTTCTACCTAGAACATTTCATGTTTCAGACTTGTCATTCATTCATTTATTTTATTTTAGCAAACAAAATTATTCCTATGTTAATTGAAAATTAGAAATCTGCATTTGAGCTAGGTTATTGAACTTATGTTATAGACAGACCCGAACAACCAATTTAAACAGCATATAATAGCTTTACAAAAAATGACCATTGATCTCAGGGTTTTGTCTTTTTGATGTTTCTTATTAACTAGTTAAACATGTTCAGGTGAAACAGGTTTAAGTTTTCAAAATACATTCAACCTCTTATTCCAGATTAGAAATTTATGAACACCAAACTTAATACCATCTTTGGCACACTGATGAATCTAAAATAGGCCTAGAATACTTTATGTCCTATTCAGAAAATAGAAATTCTTATTCATCTCATTTAAGGAAACCACAAAGTCTGAATAGTTTTTGTATATTCCACACAAATTGATTTATCAATCACTTGGACATCACAAGGGAATACATCTTGCATCATCCAAATTTGTTATTATAGGAAAAGGCTTTGACAAAAGTGACTTCATTTGAGTGTCCTTCAGTTCCACTTAAAGCTTAACATGCTGAAGTGTATAACATTTGAAAAAAAAATGTTTTTTTTTTTTTTTATTCTCAAGTATCTGCTTTTATTAAACTATTCTAAAGGCATGACAGTGTAAGGAACAAATACAAGCCACAAACAGTGGTTCCTACTCAAAGATTCAAACTACATGGGAGCTTCGCTTCTTTGAACAAAACATTATCTGATAGAAGCACAGTTTAAACTGACCTTGAATAATGCTTGCAAATAGATGAATGTACTCTTGATCTATAACGCACCTAGGAAGAATCCAAGCTGCCATCTCAGTGCTCAATTGTGAATACTGCAAGTTTTTCTATTCTGTGAAAATTAACTAACATGGAATTTGAGCTAAGATGTCTTGGCAAAAGCTCAGAGGAAAACTCAGAGGAGAAACAAACATTGAAAGGTAGTACTGCTGACAAGAAAGGAATGGAGCATTTTGCTCAAGAAAATAATAGATATAAATTTTTCTCAGAATATTTGTAAGTGCGTCTTATACTATTTTTACTATATACTATACTTACCATAATAAACCCGCCATTATATTGGTCACACGCTTTTAGAGAACTAGAAAAGAACTATCATTTAGATCTTATCAATTTGTCCCTTGAATGTCTATTTGACTAAAATATTTCATGTATTAGTACTTAATTTAAAATGTAATATTAGTACTTAATTTAAAATTTACACCTGAAATTATGTTAACATTGTGTGTCAAATATACTCAACTTTTAAAAAAGAATGTAAACATCAAAGTGGTCCAAAATATAGTTTAATAAAAACATTGAAATGTATTTCTTTATATTATGTAATCATTTAAAAAGTTATAAAATACATTTTATTCTATGGGATATTTTTAGTATATTGATAATCTAGAAAAAAAAAAGAAAATAACAACAACAACAAAAACAAGGATACAAATAGCTTAAATTCCAAGCCTATCTTTGTTTTAAAAGAGTGTACAATTAGGGCGCCTGGGTGGCTCAGTTGGTTTAGCGTCTGACTTTGGCTCAGGTTATGATCTTGGTCCGTGGGTTTGAGCCCTGGATCAGGCTCTGTGCTGACAGCTCAGAGCCTGGAGTCTGCTTCCGATACTGTGACTCCCTCTCTCTCTGCCCCTCCCCGGCTCGTGCTTTCTCTCTCTCCCTCTCTCTCCCTCAAAAATAAACATTAAAAACTTTTTTAAAAAAATAAAAATAAAAAAAAATAAAAGAGTGTACAATTTGTGTTCTCGTCTGTGTGCTTACATACATGTATATTTGGTAAAATACACTAAAATATGATATTGGTTATCTTAAGGCAGTGTGATGAATGATGAATATGTGTTTTTGGCTTATATGTGATTTATGTGATCAACACATTTTTATGTCCATAATTTGATAGGCAAACATGAAATACTTTTTCAAAAACACATATCCTTTACTCTATTAACTTCTTTGCGAACACTCATATATCAATTCACAGTTATAATTCTCCTGATGACTTTGTAATTAGGTGGTTCCTTATGCTGTTCTTCATGCCAGAGTGTTCCCATCATAAGAAATGATTCATTATTCCCTCAGACACCACCCAAATTTAGGCTCCAAATCACCTTTTGCCCAATTACTACTACAGGATATTAACAGACCCCTCTGCATCATCCCTGCAATCAATTGCACCCATTCTCCACATGTCAGCTGAAATCTAAGCATTTCATTTGTCTATTATAACCCTTACCATTGCCTTTAGTATAAAATCGCGAACCCCTGATGATATTTATGAGTACTTCCATGATCTAGTCCTTTACTACCTCCTGTTCCTCATCTCGTGACTGCTACTGCCTTGCCATCTTCTTTCCATCCTCATGAGATTTCTTTCAATTCTTCTAAGGCTCTCCTTTTTCCTCTAGGCTTTTGCACTTGTAGCTTCCTTTATTTGAAATACTCTTCCTCACTCTCACCCCATTTCCATTTTTCCTTAGCCAAACATGACTCATTAATGGAATCTTCTTGATAGAAACATTATTTCCTCAGGAGGTGTTTCCTAGCTGTCATCAAGTTAGATTAGGACACTTGACTGCATGTTTCCCTAGCACCTGATACATGCCCTTTGGAAACAGGCACTGACCTTATAATTGCATATTCAATAAATATTTTCCTCTGAACTCTGAAGTTCCATCAGGTCAGGTATTGTGTGTGGTGTTAATTGTTGTATTCTTGGTGGAACACAATACCTATCATATAACTTCCTGTGAAATATCTGTAGATTGAGGTGGTGAAGGAAATCTTTTTTTTTCAATTCTCACAGCTTCCATGGAACCATTATCTCATCCTAGAGCCCAACAACATTCACAAGAAAAAGAAAGGAAATACTCTGCCCAGAGAATAAATCGCACATAGCTGAGCTTCCCTTTGACTTTCTAAATGAGATATCACATATTTCATTTATAATTTTATTTCTTTTAATGATGGTCACTGACTTGAACATCTATACAATCAGTTCATTATTTGCTTAATAATAACTGCTTCATGACACAAAATAAGTAATCGTAGTTATTATAGTAAGGGAAGTAGAAAAGCCCTAAGTAAGACAGGTGGAGAAAACTAATAGCTTTGTATATTCTTTTTTGATAACTTAGAAAAAGAGCACATAAAAACACATTAATGCATATATACACAGGTAAATGCAATTTGCTCTCATACCTTTGGCACTCAGAGCAATTATTATTATTGGATATAACATGATTTAAGTCAACAATAGCTTTTAAAGATCCTTGATGAGAGTCAGCTAAAACAATAAAAACACCATTATTTCCAATGAATAACAAAGGTCAACTAACAACAACAACAAAGAGAAAAATGAGTAGGCAGGTATAAATAGGTATAAAAAGATGTGATAATTTTTAAAAAGGTAGCCACATGAACAGGGTCATACAATCCCATCAACTATGACTGTCAGATGCCTTCTAGTTCAGAGACTTTTTTTTTTTAAGAGAAATTTGACTTTGAAATCAAATGACAGACTTTAGTCTTTGTTGAAGTAATGGATGGGAAATCAGATGGTACTCATTTCAGTTCAATACACGGTTTAAAGATAATTTTTTTTAATGTTTATTTATTTTGAGAGAGAGAGAGAGGCAGAGGATGAGTGGGAGAGGAGCAGAGAGGGAGACACAGAATCTGAGACAGCCTCCGGGCTCTGTTCTGACAGCTCAGAACATGGGGCTCGAACCCACAAACTGTGAGATCATGACCTGAACCAAAGTTGGACGCTTGAAAAACTGAGCCACCCAGGCACCCTGTGTTCAATATATGTTTACTTTAGTTTCCAGATTCTTTGTTCTTCTACTAGAATAAAAGATTAATGACTTCTCGTGACAAAACTATATATTAATACACTATCAACCAAAGACAAATCTGAATAGAGTATTGTGATGATGTCTTTCTGACAGATGAGTTCCACTGGTATGAAATAGTTCAGATTATTTAGGTCCACCAGGAATAAGCCTACATTTTGCCTGCATCTCATGATTTTCATTAACAAGCTTCATATGAAAACTCATTATTGAGGTATATTATTTTGAGAAATTGCTCAAAATGCATTTTATTTCTTCACAAATTCATAATGATATGTTATTTGCAAAACAATCTGTAATTTGGTATGACTGTGTTCGTTTTTAATCCTGGCCATAGTTTGATATACATCTAAACTTTGCATGTAGTATTTAAGGACATAAAACAACCAATTTGATTGGGAAAGGTCAAAGATAAATATATTTTCCAATGACCTGTTCTTTCCTATGGAAAGGGTTGGGATCTAATACCAAACATGTAGATGTGTAGAAACATTACATTGTCTCTCTGAGCATGGTCAAAGGAAGAGGCTTATAATGACAGGAGAGATTAAAAATCAGTGGAATGTACCTGACTACTCCAGTCAAGTCAAAGAGAATCTTTGGGGGAAGCTATTTTCATCTTTAAGTTTCCTAAATCAGAGGTAATGATATAGTAATAATGACCCACTTATAAAAGACCTATTCATTTTGGAATCATTAAAGAGTCCAAGAAGAATTAACTTTTTAAAAAGCATACAGATCAACAGAGCAATCTATTGAGACTATAAATTAGTTTATGATAACAGAACTTCTCATCGAATAGTTAAAACATACTTCCTTCACCCTAACTTCACCCTACCTTCTAAATGTAGAATGAGGTTTTCCTTTTATTTTTTTTTTCTTCCAGCGGATTTTATGTCGGTTAAATATGTTGGTGACCTCCACTGAAAATGTCACCAGTGACATTCATTTCTCTGATG